TGTGTCTGATGAGATCTAGTCAGCAGGAGACAGATTTCTCTGTTGTACAGTATTTTTGAAGATGAATCTATAAAAGCTACTGCCAAAGTGATTTGCTTATTTGAACAAAACATGTCATCTTCTATCAAGGTGAGTCCAATAAAAAAATGCTGCATGTTTCTCTAATAGCACCCATTAAGAGATTAACCTCATAAATAATCATCTTCACTTTGTTTAGCCCACCTATGTTTCCTTGGTGATAGGTTTGCCTCCAACATCATTGCTTTCACAGCAGACAGAGATGAATATTAAAATGTCATCAGACTCAACTGAGCTGCTTTGAGTTTAGACCTCAGTGTTGTTCTTGGTATGATATGATCCAACCACAAGTTCCAGAAACTTCTGCAGAAATAGAGAAGATAGAAAAGCATTTCTGCGGTGGCTTCACTTTGGGGTAGATTACATTTTGTTCTGTTTAATCTTATGTTGCTCTTCACAGCTAGTTAACAAAGTGGTGAAAAATGGTCCTTAGAACCAAAAATTGCCTTTTCTCTCTCACATACACGTTTTTGCGCAGAAGTCTTCTTTAGTCTCATCTGAAAATTGTAATACTTAGACTGCACTTAAGCTAAGCTCTGTCAGTGTAGGTCATTGGACTTAGACAGTGTCAACTCGCTAACATAGTAAATGACTTCACTGATGGTTTGTTTTTGTAGCCTGACCCACAAGGTCTTGGTTAAAAGGGGTCATGTGACATGACCTTTATGTGGGTGGTGTTTGCCCCGATGAACACACATATGAATACGCATGAATGCAATGCATTTATTTACTAACAAGAAATGAATATGACAGGATGCACAATGCAGGTGGCCAGTTATTTTTTTTGCAAAAGTAATTCTGTAACTCTGCTAAAATGCTCTAAGGAAGCTAATATTATCTGTGGCATCACATGCTCCTAAAATGATTTCTTTAAGAGTACAGGCCAAAAGTGTTTCTTTTATATGATGGTGTCAGTTTACATGGGTTTTAGCTCACCAAAGTTTTGAAACCATCACTATTATGATGCCAAGCCTGCCACCTAGTGTTGGTACTGTGGTACTGCGGTTTCTCTTTTTGTGAAACCAAATACTATAAACCACAAAGAATAATAATAAAAAGTGGCAGTAAGCCAAAGGTAGTGTGGTGCTTAATAACAGCACTGTTACCTTAAAAGCACAATGCTGCTAGTGGCATTGCTGATTAGTAGAACAACAAAAGGGAAATCATGTGCAGGTAAACACACTGTGAAGTGTTTGTGCTGCACAAAATTAAACATTCCATGGGCTGAGCACAGAGGATTGAAAGCTTAGAAATAACATTCATATTTCATGACACATTGGTGGTGTCAAACCTGATTACTCTCTAGTGAGAACTTACATATGTGCTCCCACCACAGACTTCCGTAGGTCAGGCTGCATTCCTCTGGCTTAGAGCGAGGTGACATGGCAGGGGGATAAGGTTGGCTTTATGTCACTCCAAATCATCGTGCAGGGCATTTTCTCTTTTGTGCCACAGGTCTGGTTCACTCAAGCAGCAGTATTTTATATAAACACCAGTAAAAGCATATTAAACACAAATCAGTCATTGGCTCTAAAGGGCAGTCGAACCTTTACATGACTTCACGCAGCATAACATGGTGACAGGACACAAGCAAAATACATTCTTTTCATTTGCAGTGCTGCTAACACTACATTAGCTCTTTATTGAACATTTTTTATTCCAGTCAGCACATGAAATCATATGGAGGAACGGTAAGTTTCCTGAACTAAAGTAAGTAAAGACATACTTTCATTTTTCTATTGTATTGAACCAAAATATGCAGAGTACATGAAAGAAATTTAACAGATGAGTTTCCAAGAGAGGCATTTTTGACTCAGTTCTGTTCCTCAAACCATGCAAAGCCACACACATTGTAAACAGTAGAAGGCACATGTGCAGTAATGAAAGGGTAGCATGCAGATCATTTGTCAAGAGAATCATTTTTGTATAAAACTGCATCAACGTGCAATACTAAGTCGACATCTCTAAGTGTATGTTCATTACATCTACAGTAAAATTAGACAACAATGAACAAGGTGGTGATTCCAAGAAATAGGAGAGTTAAGCTGTAGGTGGTGGTGCTGCTTAATGAGTGAGACGACATGACGGTGATTTCTGACCGGCACTGACTACAGTTGACACCACAGAAGGAGCAGACATCCCTGTTGTACAGAACATCCAAGTTGTATGTCCTTGCTGCTCTCCTCACTGCAAGACAGGCAAAATAATATCATTTTAAGCTTACTGTTATGTTAATCTGGTACTGGCAGGTGACATTTGTCATAGTCCACCACTTTGTGTTTAGTTTCAGTGCATTTCTATTTTTCCAAAAAAAAACAAAACAGAAAGAATGAGCAATCCATAGACAGTCCATATACATATTCATGCACAATATGTACTTATGTTGACATAATGGACATTACTACACACAGTGTTAGGTTCAGAATAAGATAATGTTGACTGAAAAGGAGTAGGCCAAAGCTAGTGCTTACTAGGCCATATCTAAACATGTCAAACAAAGTGAGTTATCGTGATGGTTTATCAAATGACATTTTTCAAGATTTTTATTTGCCATTTATGCATAAACAGACAGTCTAGGCATATAGGAATTCTTGTGCAGCTCCCCTTTGGAGTCAAAAGCCGGAAAGAACACTTAGTCTTAAAATAAAAAGTTACATAAAGGCAACAAAGCATTAAAACCACAATACGCAAAAAATAGAGTAATAGAATTTTCCCCAGTGAACTTCAAACATCGCACTTTGTAATTCACATGGTGGAGTTGAATATGTCATTATGCTTGGTGAGGTAGTGAGGGGTTATAACGTACTAAAACACAGTTTATATTCAGGCTTGTTTCCATTGCTTGGTGGAGAATGTCCTGCTATTATTCATGTCCCACAAGAGAACACTGTTGATGAGATGGTCTTACAAAAATACCTTGTGGAACATTTCTGTATTATTATTGCACATGTCCAGTAAGGGGTTATTGGACATATATTCTCACATTTCTCACATTTTTGTATTTGCCATCAGTCTTACTGCGGCAGGGAACAAGCTGTTGTAAAGCCTAGTTCCGTGTGTGATGCTACTGTCCACCCTGCTGTGCCTGAGGCTGTAGGTGCAGTTTTTGTGTCTGAGCAGAGAGTGAGCTGGGTGGAGTGGATCCCTGAGTATGTTCTCTGCCCTTTTACAACAGCACTGTGTGTACAGTGTGTCCATAGCAGGCAGTTCAGTCCCAGTTATCCTCTCTGCAGTCTTTATGACCCTTTGAAGAGCCTTCCTCTCTGCCTGTGTGGTGTTACCCTAACAGACTGTGATGCCAGTAGTGAGGATATATACAGTAAAATATATATAGGGAATATATAGAGCAAATATATAGAAGATATATTTTATACCCATTATTACCTTTCTTTTAAACAATCACTTAAGATATTAATGGCAAAATGACTAAAGCATCGTACCAATTTCAAATTTCTGGAAATAGCTATTTATTCATTCAGTATACATTTGCATACTGTGAATTTACAGCATCATTAAAAGAATGTACTCACAAGGTTGATAGTAGTCGTAAACCTGAACCACAGCATCCTGTACATGGGCCACGTTATACTCTCTGATGACTGGAAGTCTGATGCAAACCTCTGACTTGTTAAGCTGCAAATGACACCAAAAAGTGAATCATAATTTAGTATACACAACATACCATTTAATAATTTTATTAACTCTGAAGATCTGGTGAATGGATATGTGTATCTGATGTCGAAACAGAAACAGACACTGTTCAACATAGTGGATACTGTGCAGGTGAAATTCACAGTGAAATATGAGTTCACTATATTTTTTTCCTGATTTTTCTTCCTTGTTAGAGCTAAAATATCAGTACTGCTACAGACCACTAGAAATTGGATAGTGAGCAAAACGATCATGTAAAATGATAGTAGCCAGCGAACCAACACGCTGCCTATAGTAAGTATGTGTACTACATTTGTCAGTGAGGGCTAGCTTGACCTGGCTAAGCCAACTACATCACACACTGTAGGTCCCACTGTAGCTATACGCTGTCATGTTGTTTTCATCCTATATTACACATTAAATTACATTAAGAACTCAACCACAAGTCATTTTAAGGACAGAGATCACATGGGGCTTTAATGACCTGAGGAGGCTGCAGTCAAAACTTTTTTTTTTTTAACAATAAATAAGTACAATTGAAATTCAATATGTACAATAATAAGTATTTAGTAATCTTCCAGCAGAATTCTAATCTTTGCAATGTGGTAAAGGCTCATTGAAACCATATCAAACCATTTAAATCATGCAGGGAAGAAAAATGTATGAGAAAAAAGAAATCAACATAAATGATCAATCGAGTGAAGAGCCAAAATTTCTTCTGTATTTGTAAAATCCCAGCTTCAACCTTGGTTATTAAGCTCCACCGATGGCAATTTAACAAGGCCAATAAGACTGTTGCAGCCCATCTCCTCTCTCCACGTGTGGAAGCGATGAAACTCTTACCGAATCCAGGTACAAGATCACGTTCCCAGGCCATGTCTCCACCTTCCTAACAAGGTCTGTTGGAAGAGCAGCTTCAGCAGAGAGACGGAAACCGCTGAGTATGCCCACATCTAGTATGGCCATTCCTGTACGAGGAATAGCCTGGCTGTCTTTTAATCTAAAGAGGATAAAAGCAAGAGGTAATATGAATTCAGGAGCCTCGTGTTATGCATGGAAACACAACATAAAGACAGATTACATCATCAAAACTAGTTTAAAATAAATGTTAAACAAAATTAACTTGAAATCCATCAGTGCTATAGTTCTTACCTCATGCATATAGTCAAGAGCATGCGATTGAGGTCCTGTTCATTAATGACATCAACTGCTAAAAATAAATCCTCCTTGTCTATGGCATTGCTCTGTTCGTAGGCTTTGCTCTCCAGGTTGTAAAAGACATTCATCTGAATGGATCCAGGAAGATGTTTAAAAAATTTAGAATACTAGTTTCAGTGGTTAAGAGCAGAAGTCCACAGTTTGCTAAAATGCCTCATACCACAGACAAATGGTCAATGAAACCACTGTTTTCATCTTGAGAAAACTCTGTATTCTATAAAGCAAAGGTTAAAAAAGACTGGATCTCTGTAAGTTAACCTGTTTCCACCAAAACTATTCACTTACAGAAAGTTTAAAAGGAGGTGGCAGATGAGGGATTTGAAAAAGATAACAGGTTATACTGAGCATAAAGATAAGATTAACCTTTCACCAAAGTCATCCCCTGAGTGATATTATCTGGACACACCCAACACATGACGATGTGCTCCAGATGCTAACTGCTGAGAATCCATTACCATAATACATTCACATTTAGCTGTTCTGGTTTAGCATTTAAACTGTGCTTGGTCAAACTATCACACACAGCTGCTGCATTCACTTAATTCTGGTCCTGCTCAGCTGGATAAATTATTCTTCACGTTAAGCCGAGTATGTTGGAGCTATTGAAACATACCTGCATTTTAAGGGGCAGTCTGGAGTCTAGGTGTTACATTTTCCTGAACAGATTTAGCAAATCAAAGAAGAGCAGACAGAACAGTAATACTGTACAGTGTACCTGAAATAACGCAAATCCTCTTCCTTCCATGTATACATTTAATTTTAGATCTTTGTCAGCATTAATCTAGAAAACAAGTAGGGAATCTGAAGAAAATCCAGACTGACAACAAAACAGTAAATACAGCATCATATATCAAAAAAGTTCAAATGATACCTGCATTAGGCATCAACCATGGGAGTCCACAGAGATTTCTTACCATTTGATTATGATACATCTGATAGGTGTTGGAGTTGATAGTAAACAGAGATGTGTATGAATATGCTGGGGCAGATATATTAATTCTGAGGTCAATGGCGAAGGCACCGCTGAATGAAGCATAGCAAGCCAGAGCCTCAAGGGCAACCACTGTGTCCTGATGAGGAAAGAGGATAACGGGTAAAAATACCAGCATCTGGATTGTATCACAATATACAGTATACCGGATAATTTAGGGCAGGACTGGGGAATACTTTGGGATATGCAGCTAATTTACATTGACAGAGAACCTGGTTATGTATATTTGAAATTGTTACTACTCAGACTCCTTGCCATCAGTTGGTCAAATCTTAAAGACAGTAATGCCTGTAGAAACTTTACCTGAGATGAACAATAAGTAAATTTATGGTATATCGGTAGTATGCAGTATGCAGTTTTGCAGAAGACATTGTGTTCATTATCCTGAAATGAACCCAACAGGTTTTTCTGTGTTTCTGTATCATTAAGCATTGGTTATTCATATGACCAAATAATGGTTTAGTCCCACCTGTGTTGTTCCGTAGCCTCCTAAATAATTTCTCTGCTTGCTTAACCACTTCAAGAGTGCAATGCCCTCAGCAAAGTTGGCATGTTTAAAAAGAGTCAGCAGCATATAAGAGGCCATTTCGATCTGCACTGAGTTCACATGCTGGGAATGTGAATTCCTGCCAACAGAGGATCTCCACATCATAACTCCATCTATGGAATGAAATGACAGACATAATAATCAATACAAGTATGTCAACTCTTATATAATGTATATGTCATTCAGCACAGGAAAAATATATTTACATCACTATCATCAGGCATCTAACCACAAGGTACGGAAGCTTTGGTTTTTATTGTTGCTGCTGCTCTTGTTTAGATCGATCTGGGTCTTAGGAACTTTAACCCTATAAGAATTAAATTTTGTATCCTGTGTTGAGTTTAAAATTGCAAAAACATTCTAGCAACTCAGCTACGCAATACAGTAACTACCTACAGTACAAAATGCCCAGTGACATCGCAGCCGCTTGTTGATACAAAAGTTTCCTTTCAAAGAAGCAGAAGCTCCTTTGAAAAAAAAAAAAAAAAAAAAAGTGAATCATGGTGGAAATAAAACAAAGAAATACCATCATTGATAACAGACATGGCCTTGCACACTCCTGGACATAAATGACAAACCTTTAATGATTTACCTATGTGGTCAGCTCTGTTGGTGAGTTCAGTCAGAGCCTTGTACGATGTAGGACTCTTGGTCAGACTTAAAGCATAAGCAACCAGACACAGGCTGTAGTTACTGACCACCCCAATGGACACTTTGTTCTCCAGATAACTTTGGGCCAGGGATATGTTTTTTGCATACATCTCCTTCACAACGAGGAGCCACATAAAAAAATAAATAAAATGAAATCATTACTGTAACTGACTTCCTTTCCTCATATACAATACTTTACATGCACCTTTAATATGGCATATTCTCAAACTGGTTTTCCTGTTGATACAAAAACAACATGGTTCTTAGGTCATTCCCATGTCATGTCACCTTGTCTACTGACACACACACACACACACTCCCCTGACTTACCACAAAGCTTTCGTCCTCCAACATTGTGATCAGTACAAAGGAAGTTAGTGCCACCGGGCCATTATCTAGGCCTTCCTGCATCTCTGTGTGGATCAACCTGCCGACCTCGGAGAACTCTCCCCCAGGCCCCTGGTGATTCAAGAGCCATGCCATGGCCCTGGCCAGGACACTATAATCTATAGGAATGTAGGACCTAGCCTGGAGGAAGCACCGCAGCACAAAAGCTGTCAGCCTGGGACCACAGACAGAAGAGAAGGAGTGTCTGAGTCAGTGTACAGCTCTGTAGATTTAATGAATATCAGTGCAACACAAAAGGATTAAAGTTGCCAAAAAGACAACGATCGTTTAAATCAAATACTGTAACAACTTGGTAGTCAAATGAAAGGAGAGTGTGATAGACATTTACTTTTTGCAAATCTAACCTTGTTTTAAGTTATCTACTTACAATTTTGTCAGAAAACACCTTAAACAAGTGAGCAAGGCATTAAAAATTATTTCACCTTTATGTGCAGGCTCTTTCACCTGACTCACCTGTGCCATTGCCATGTACCTACCATGTGCTCCCAGAGCGGTCGCTGGCTCCACAGGCACTGAAGGAACCATCGTCTCGTTGAAAGGACAGTTGCCTCCAATACGCTTAGTGCAGATAATATAACATGTTGACGTAACATGAAAATGAGTAACAAATGCCTACATTTATTAGTTAATTGTCACTGAAAAGATGCTCTGTCACCCACGTTATGTATGTATGGTATGGTCTATTATTAGTGGTCCCAGAGTCAAGTAAGGCTGCTTACCCTCCATCATACGGGTCAGAGCCTTGCTCCTGATCTCGCTATTGTCATGGGCTGACTTGTTCAGGTACTGAAGAATATAAATACTGGGAGCAAAGTGGATCATACTCTGCTCCCCACAACCAATGGGAACTTGAACCAGGGAATCCAAGTTGCTAATGGACAAGGCCAAGATATCACCTGTGTAAAGTTACATACAGGAGGGAAGGAAGAAGGATTTAACAGTTGCACAACATGTTCACTAACAGAATAAGAGCAGCTAGAATTGTGCTTCAACCCTGATAATGTAAATTTTCAATCATTATATCTGTGCTGAAAAAAACTTAGACTAGATTTCTAGGTCGAAGACGTTTCACCTTTCATCCAAGAGGCTTCATTAGTTGTGACTGACTGGTGTTAAGCCGGAGATATTTATCCCCCCTCCTCGGTGGGGATAAATAATAAAGGACTGAAACACCACCGAGGGGGATAAATATCCCCGGCTCAACATCAGTCAGTCACAACTAATGAAGCCTCTTGGATGAGAGGTGAAACGTCTTCGACCTAGAAATCTAGTTCAGTTGATTTTTTCTAAGTTTTTTTCAGCTTACTATGACCTGGATGACTGAGAATCTGCACAGACATCTCCATCCTCATTGAGTCAGAGTCAGTGGAGGCTCAGTGAGCTGATGTCTGAGGAGAAGAATCTGTTTCCTGTTGGTTACGTGAAGGTGGCGCCACCTGGTGGCAGAAACACGTTCCTGCAAACAGCGAACACCTTAAAATGTCCAGTGTTTCCAGAGACCACCAACCAGTAGGTTTGTCTCTAATCTGCCAGTCGACACCAGTGGTTGTAGTTCACAGAGTTTGTGGCGTTTGTCAGAAAAGCTTTTGGTCAGTGGTGAGTAACAAACAGGATGATGAACAGGATCAGGTGTTGTCATGACTGAATGAAGTCAGACTGGAGAGTTTCCTTCTTCCACCTGGAACTGTGACCTCCTGTGTTTCTGACTCTTCACCTGTGTCTCCTCTCACAGGACCAGATGATCTGCTGCATCCTGATGCTCAGCAGCCTGGTCTCCTCTGTCTGGGGTCAGTTTATTATCCACTAAGTGAGAAGAAATGATCCAGGTTGTCAGTCAGTGTGGTCCTCACTTTCCCTGTGTGTCTCCTCAACAGGAACATGTGTAGTGAAAGTGACACAGAGCTCCTAGAGGTGCTGATTCTCATCCCAGCCGCTTCACACTCGGCTGCAAACCGCCCCAGTGCACGCTGGAGGTCCTGGTTTGATGGGGCCAACAGGACAATGTCGTCTGCAAAAAGCAGAGACGAGATCCTGTGGTCCCCAAACCGGACTCCTTCCGCCCCCTGGCTGCGCCTAGAAATTTTGTCCATAAAAATAATGAACAGAACCGGTGACAAAGGGCAGCCCTGCCGGAGTAATAAGGAACCTGAAATTAGTGTGTTCTGGTATTTAAAAGCCAGTGTTTTACTAAATGATAAATGCTTTTAAGAAAAATGTAGGCTCCACCATAACAGTTTGAATAGGGAAACTACTGAACGATACAGTATGCAAAAGAAAAACATACTTTTGAATTGGCCACTTGGTCAGTAGTTCAAGTTACAAGGCATGAGAGAACAGAAGAGAAACTATGAAACACTGTCATAAGCAGAAACCTACAGCACAGACCAAAACTAAAACCCTCACATTTTCTTCATAAAGGCGACTCTCACAACAAGCAGAGAAACTTCAAATTTAACTCTAACCGAAGAAAGTCCTAAAGCTTGTGGCCTGTCTGCCACAACAAATGCCCAAATTCCCTCAATCTGAATGGAGCCAAACCAGCTGTTTAGCATCTGCCCACCATAAACATTGCTGTTTGATGTCCATTGTTTCCCCTTTTCAAAATTCACTACCTAAAAGCTTTCAGGAATGTGATGCATCTGTACCCAAGCTCATCATTGAAGCACAAAAGGAAAATACAAGCACATGCCTATGTGCTTGTGTAATGTAATTGGCTAAAAGTAAACATAAACTGCACTCAGATGGAAATGACTTACCAACCAATGCCACACTGGCCCACTGGCTGCCTGGCACCACATCTGGTGGAAAGAAGAAGGAGACCGATCTGGAACTGTTCTGCATCGTTGGTCCCAGCTCCAGGAACAGAGTCTCAGAGAAGAACTGTTCGACTCCCTTAGGCTACAGGAACATGGACGTAATTCACTGTTATAAGTTTAACTGTAAGCTAAATAATATGCTGCATGTGATACTACTTCTTTAAGTCTAAGTGCACTTCTTCTACTTATACCACAGAAACCTCTTCATCATAAGCTCACCATGACAAACCTCACTAAGTTGGACTTCACACACTAAATTCATAGGTATCATCTCATATTTCCTTCAAACCATACCTTGACAATCAGACTCCAGACTATGCTGTCTGATGCCTCCTCAGATATAGCATCCACAGATATTTCCATCTCACCCAGAACCACAGGCCTTATAGGGAACAGGACTGAGGCAGAAGCATGACTCCCTATGGTAAGTGTCTGGGCATTTATCACAGAGACACCCTCTTTCTTTTCCATAACAAACTTAAAGGCCTTGGTCTGTGAGAGCATTATGATGACCTGTGGAGATAAACGTACAGGAACAAAACACAATCCTGTAAAACAAAGAATGTGACACGTTCTGTGTGACATGAATGACAGTGACAGATGCTTCTTAATGGAAGATTGGTTTACAGAATGTCATCCATTAAGATTTTTCTTTTTTTTAGATTTGTACCTAAAGGGCTAAAAAAGAATATTAAGCAGCAGATCAAAAATATTTACCACTTCCAAATGTAGTACTTCATACCTTTATGTCCTGCTCTAAATGGTTGATAATGTCCACTTCCAGTACAATCTCCTCTCCCTCGATTAGGTATGGTGGGGCATTCATAGATAAGGAGAATTTTTTGGACACAGGCAACTGTGGATAAGAGAACATAAACTCAAAGCAATTTTGGCTATCACTGTTAGCAAGTTAGTGAAGAAGGTTCCTACCAGTGGGGTTACAGCCTGAGACAGTTTATGTTACTCTACAGGTATAAATTCATTCTGTGATTAGATATAGTAAGATTAAATATGCTGCTATATAATGGGCATTTTTACTTTTTGCTACACGACAGACCACACATTTGGTCCTAACCAAGGTTTTACTGTACTCACAAGTTTAGTTCTACTTGTTTCACAGATTCATGTCCCCTTTAGGATGAATTATAATCATTTTTGTAATTCCCTGAGATTTTATCAAGTGTTTAGCTAAAAGTTTAGTCTGTCACTACTTTCGTTATAACCAAATACCAGTAAAACCTAAAAATGTCCCATGAAATGATTGTAATTTGTGTTAGGAAATGATAGCATGTTAACACACTAAACTAGGCTGGTGATCCTGGCAAGCTTTACTCCAGCTGAACATCAGTGTGCTAGCATTGTTACCGTGAGCATATTAGCATGTTGAGATTTAGATAAAACACAGCTATACCCAAAATATATACCTCACAGTGCTGCTAGCATGGCAGTAGACTCTTGTTTTCAGATTATTATATCAAAAAACCCAAAAGATTTATTAAAATGCTACAATATTTATTCAGATGATGCTTTTTATTAATAGTATATGAATTGGACAAGCATTGTTCAAGCTGTTGAGTCTCCGTAAATACCAGAAAAGGGCTCAAATCACTTCCTCCTGCTTTCAGTAAAAACAGAAGCATAGCATCCTCTTAAGAAAGTAAACAGAATTACGGGAACTTCAAATTTGAGACTTAATACTGGTACATAATGAGTATTTGCTTACCTTTTGTGGCACAGGACTGAAGCCCAAACCCAGATTGTCTGACATTACCAGTGCAACAGCTCTCAAAGAGGTAACACCGTCCGGCACTGTTATATTTCCACTCGTCCATGTTCCATCACTGATTGAATAACACACACACACAAAAGTATTTCATAGGCCAAATACTGATCATTTTAATCTCCTGCTCCCAGAACATTTTCAGCACTCACCTAACATTAGTGTTTAACCACAACAAGGTTTTAGCACCATCCATATACTGGCTCCAGTAGTGTTCCACCTCTAGGGCATCTGGAAACCCCCAAAGAAGAAAGACATGAGGAAGTTCAGGTTATATTTATGCCTTAAGAATGAAGGTGAGATCCATTATAACTGCAATTGTTAGACCATTACAATTTTCTAAATGGCCACATGCGGGACCCCAAATAGAAATGCATAGAATGATCACATTGATTCCCTGTGTTACCATCATCATACCATCTGTAGGTCCATCAGGCTGCTTTTCCTTATACAGTCTGGCATTGGTCATAATCCAAATATTACATTTCTGTGGTGTGGAAAACACAAAAAAGAAAGTGTTGTAACTGATAAATATTGAGATAAATGATCCATTCTAACAGTACTTTTATAGTTGATTTAATACTGTATTTGCACGTTTGTTTTTTTGTTTGTTTGTTTGTTTTTTACTTGTTTATAACTTTTGGTGCTATCATTTTGCCGGGGCTCCTTTGGTGATGGCACTGTAAACCTCAGTGGGATCTCCCCAGGTAAAATAAAGGTTAAATGAAAATGAAGAAAGAAAAAAATGAGGAGAGGAGGTCATCCTAAGACAACCCACTGCGGTCAAGCATTGTTTCCTCTATTGTGCACCCATCAGTGACCCTCAGGTCATGCACCCAAAACACTAGAATTACAGGCTCTTTGAAACAGAGGATTCACTTCCTAACAAAGCAGACAGATAGCTTACATCCAGAACAACCGGTTCCAATGTGACACACTGAATCATACAATATCTAAAGTTGAAAAGCATGTCTAGGAGGATTATCCAACAAGTTGAGGATTTTTCAATTTAAAACAATATTGATGTGCCCACATGTACGTTAGAATAGGTCTTAGTCGTAGTAACTTTTCTTGCTCTCCACACAACTCTGAAGCTTTTTAGACAGAACACAATTGTGCTGTAAAAAAAAAAAAAAAAAGGTCAAAATACATGTGTGAAAATTCCCTCCCAGGCTCGTCTGTGGCTCAAATGATGCTTCAGCTGTTCCACTAAGCTAACTGAGTTTCTATGATAGTTTGTTTAATACAAACATTCTTCCTTTGTTTCCTTGAATAGTGGACATGTCAATAATGGTTTAAGATTAACTTGTAAAATCCCAAACTTTTCAGGTGACTAGGAGGACTGGTGCTTTGTAATTAAACCCTGACATAAATTAAGCTGTCTAAACAGGTGGCTTTTTTGTTTCAGCAGATTATACTTTGTTCTTGTCTGAGGACAAACATTTACACAAGGCTGAAGAGCATAGTGTAGCATCTGGGTCCTATCAATGACACAAATCCCAGTTACAACAGGTAAAAAATAAAAATAAAAATTTGTGCTTTGAACTGCAAAAGAGCAAATCAAACACATTGCCATACCTGCTTCGCTTCTAAGTCCTGGTCATCCTTTGGAGTCTCGTCATCCACCTCCATTACCACGATTCCTACCTGGGACCTGGGTTCAAGGACAGTCGCAGTGAGTGATACCTGATCACCCGGCTGAGCCTCACCACTGCTCCAGCTTAGAGATATCTGAAAAAAGCAAACACACAGACAATCACAGACAGGTCCAAGGGATTTATTTGAATAACATGACAGAAGAGAGTGAAAGAACAATAAAGTACGTAGTTTTGTTGGTTGACAGGCATGCACGCCTTGTCACTGGTAATCTCTCCACTGGAAAGGCTGCAGTAGACAGTGACACAGGCCTCAGGAGACCAGGACACTGCTGGAGTGAGAGAAAAAGAGGTGGAATTCACTGTTCCCACAGTCACCACCTGGCCTCTAGAGCTCACCTAGAAGCACAACAATAAAGGAAGACGCTGCTGTTATTTGCATTTGACCACAAGTCTCAAAGAGAAGCAATAAGAATGGTGAGGTCCATAATGTCCCCTAATGATCTGTAGTGTACAATATGTTGGTATAGTAATAACCAGTAAAACAAATTCATATCCAAACATGGGAAAATACTGGTTCTGCAGGCTTCACAGTGATTCATGCACTGGCTGCAGCTAATAAACAAATTTAAGAATAATTTTAAAACTCTATATGTCAGTATTAAATGGCAGTCAGACCTAAATGTAGAAATATCAGAAGAGGTTTGGTTTTCTGTGTTTGTAACACAGATTCCAGAAAGTGGAGTGTTGTAGAGCATGAGGGTCCATAAATACTTATTATTCCCATATTTTCTGGTCATTTGAAATGATTCACATTTTGGGGAGTATATATATACATACATACATACATACATACATAAATACATACATACATACGCATGGTTGTGAGAGACAACCTTTTAGACCAATCCAACAGCCTCACCACTCTAGGTGTGATATCACCACTACAGCCCCTGACTCTTTCTCTTCATAGAGACCAATGTACAGTATTTCTCATTTTCAACCATTTTAACAAAGATTCAAATACATTTCTAATCTTTTGAAAAGTACAAATGGAAGTTAAAAGTTGAATCTACAGTAGGTCAACCTCATCATCAGTGAGCCATGGGCGTCCATGACCCTGTCTCCAGTTCACCATTTGTCCTTCCTTAGACACTGTTGGTAGGTACTAACCACTTCAGACCAACAACACCCACCAAGACCTGCAGACTGGGAGATGCTCTGACCCAGTCATCTCACCATCACAGGTTGGCCCTTGTCAAAGTCACTCAGATCCTTACACTTGCCCATTTCTCCTGCTTCCAACACATCAATTTCAAGAACTGACTGGTCCCTGTGTATTCCACCCCTTGACAGATGCCATTGTAACCAGATAATCAATGTTATTCACTTCACCTATCAGTTATGTTGTGACTGATAGGTGTATCTAACCTTCAGATTTATTTTAAGCTATGAGATTCCCAAGGACAGTAAAATATCGTATCTTGAATTCATAACAGAAGTCTACCTGTGTGTAAAGTTCTCCTGATTGCCTGTAAAGCAGCAATAACTACAGTGCAAACAGATATAGAATAGATCGAGCTCGTCAGGGATATTCAGTATGTATTGAAAAATGGATGATTCAGGAGGAGTGAGGAAAAGTCCTTCCCTTAAAAATGGTAGAAATGGATCACCTTCACTGCAAACATTGAGGATGTTATCAAATCTGGATAAATCCGAGATCAATATAGACATTAATCAGTTGTTAATCAGTCGTCTCTCGCTCGTCTTCAAATGGTCCAAAATGCTGCTGCTCGTCTTTTAACAGGTACTAGAAAATTCGACCATATAGCTCCGGTACTGGCCTCTCTTCACTGACTTCCAGTCCATTTTAGAATCCATTTTAAGCTAGTGATTTTTGTTTTTAAGGCTCTTAATGGTTTGGCACCGCCTTACCTTGCTGAGTTGGTGAGGTGGCACGAACCAACTAGATTACTCAGATCCTCAAGCCAGTTTTTGTTAGAAGTGCCCAGGGCCAGATACAAACGCTGGGGTGACCATGCTTTTATTGTTTCAGCTCCTAAATTGTGGAATGGTTTATCTTTTAACGTTACATCATCTACAGACTTGACAGCTTTTAAATCATTGGTTAAAACATATTTATTCACTTTGGCTTTTAATACATAGTAGTGTCTGATGCTTTCTTCTTTTAACTGTTGATTCTGTGTATTTCCTGTCTTTATGTTCCTTTGTTGTTTTATTTCTCTATTTCACATTATTTATTCTGGCTTTTACATTGCCCTTGTAAAGTACTTTGGTTGACCAGATGTTGCTTTTAAAGTGCTATATAAATAAATTGATTAAGACAGGAGACCAAGAAATGTACTCCACTTGGTTCCCATGCTTCATTAATATTGGTTTCTCCTTTTCTGTTGTAAAATATACTTAAAATTGTCACAAATAAAAACTATTGCAGTTTTTTTTTATTTCCTGATGTATGCAGTCAAGTGCTGCTTGATTCATTTTCCAGATATAAACTTTTGACATACTCATGATAAACGGCCTTATGCTTGTAGCACTTTTCTGCACATTACAGCACCCTCCAGGTGCTTTCACACTATTTGCCTATCCACCCACCTATGATATCACCAGGAGAAACTTTAGCGTCTTTCTCAAAGACACTTCAACATGTGGACTGGAGAAGCTGGGTATCGAACTACCAGCCTTCCGGTTAGGAGACGACCCACTCTACATCCTAAGCCACAGCCATATTCATGTGATTACAGGTTTCTACAGCCCTCTTTGTCATTTTTTATGTAGACAGGCATTATGCTCTTAATTCAGGGTACTGTAGGTTAGTCATGGATTATTTGATCAAACATACCACAAAGTGAAGCGTAGTTGGCTTGAAGTTGCTCTCCACATCTACTTGAAGCGGCAATCCTATCTGAAAGTTAAAACTATTATGTGAAATTGGTCTAGCTATACCATTAGTACAATACATTTGGGTGAGGAATCTCAGTATATACAGTACATACATTTTATTGTAGCACAAAGCTACAAAATACACATATAGAGTTACCTGTACAGCGGTATTGATTGGGGAGATCTGAATATATGAGCCACTTGAAGAGGAATAGTTCTTGTACACTGTCAGAGTCTTCTCACTGGATTGGAATCTGGCCTGAAAATACAAAACAACAAAAACAATCATGTTTGCTTACACTTTACAGAGATGTACTGGTCCTGGGGCCATTTTTTTCCATACAGGTAAACATGCGTAATCTTATCAGACTGAAACTACTTATCTTACATAAAAGAAACCTCAGCATTTCCTGGAGGACCAACCTTTCAGCTACTGAAAACCAAAGTACTCACCCAAATAACAAGCATCTCAACTTGATCCTGTAACTGAAACTTAATCTGAACATTCCCGTCCTTGGGGACTAGGAGCATCAGAGTCGTAGGTTTAGCATTTGTCTTGGATGTCCTCTGAGTGATGTTAATCATAGCAAAGTTCATAAGATCCTGTGAGCTCAAAGGCTTTCTGTCGTATCTAGAGATGCTGAGCTGTGGAAGAGAAGCAAAAAGGATAGTTAACTCATGGAAAGGTCCATTTAAAATAGCTGTAACACTCAAAAAATGATATTATTTCCTTACGTTTGTAGAAAAATTTAGTGATGGCTTTAGTGTAAGTGAAGAATCATGGAACATAAGCTGGAATGGTTTCTGCATAACCCGGACTTTAACTGTTTTGTTCACTTTAGATCCTTGAGTGGCAAAAGAACAAAATTCTCAAGTTTGGACAAGCAACTTAAATGTATTTTATACATTAACCAACACTGTTTCTAAATACATTTCACCTGTAGAGTTGCTGGTAACACAGACTACAACATATAAACTAATATCGCTGCTTAATGAGTTCTGCAGGGTTTCAAGTGCATTTCTGCTGAAGAAAAACTGTGTTGACCCATAGATCTGAAAAACAACGGTCAAAAGTTAGTTGATCCCTGTTTAGTATACAGATACATCAAATGTAAATGCTGACTAAAAAGCACGCAGTCTATTATTAGTGTGCATTCTTTCATAAACTAAGTACGACAATAAAACCTCACCCCTTTTCTTTCTGTTGGCATGGCTGGAGAGCCGTCAGGTGCCAGCCTGACTGAGACATCTAATGTTCCCTGTACAGGTTGTCCATATGAGTAACTAAAGCGTAGAAAAGGTACTTTAGCATACTAGCTTACCACATATATAATGTGATGTTATTGATGTGAATGAGCCAACTGAACTCACAGTGCTCTCACTGATCCTGAGATGTGATCTCCAACAAGAACCTGTGACTGTGTCTTGACAAGCACTTCAAAGTCAGGAAGCTCTGCAACACCAGGCAGCACAGATATAGCAATAATTCAAGGGTAAGTTCACATTTTTTTCAAGGTTGTTTAATACATTTTGCTTACTGTAATCTTTACTCTTTTTCATGCTGGCCATTAAAAGATCACTTCCTTACAAAAATCCAGTTTTTGGCCTGTGTAAAAATCTATTCAAAAGTTTTATTACATGCTAATATAAGAATATAACAGTCTGAGATGAGACAAATTAAGAGAAAATTACAGCCTTTTTAAAATGATAAAATTCTCAATTTTTGTTTGGATAGACAGAGTATTGGTACGGAAAGACTGCTGAGCTGCAGCAATGAAAGAATAGCAAATAAGGTTGAGGGTATTTGGCACTAAAAATGATTGATTTGTCTATCTCAGATGGCAAAACCCTTATTTTAGCTTTGGCTAAATTTTGGAATGCATTTATAAACAAAATGAGGACTGTGGTTTTTGTTCCCCATCATTTCCACTGAAATTAGGAAGGAATCTCCTCTGGGTCGTTACTTTCAGGTGAAAAGATTACAAAGCCCAATAAAGCACATTGTATTTTTAGGCAGATCATTGTTGTACTAGAAAAGAAAATGTGAACCAATCACTTAAAACTTTTCAATTTCCAAAAACAACTTAAAAAGAAGTTTCTTACCATAATCCTTCACAGTGAATATTGTATTATCAGTCACGTTCTGTAGTAATGAGAAAAGGTAAAATCAGCAGGTGCCTTTTAGTTTACATTGTTCAAATCAGATAATATTCTACCATATATATATATATATGTGTGTGTGTGTGTGTGTGTGTGTGTGTGTTTGTGTGTGTGTCTGTGTGTAAACAACCCTACATTCACTGTTGTTGAAATGACCCACAATCCACGAGGGGCCGCCAGGGATAAATTGAACTCCTGCCACACAATCCCCAAATACCCTGTGGACTCCCAAGTGTTAACAGTGTTACCTCTCGGATCCTGTGTGTGACAAAGGAACGGCAACCAGACAATGATGCCTGGTTAAAAAAATCACTTAAGCTCCTGTGGCTGTGTTCTTTTACAAAGAAAACAGAAACCAACCTGTACAGAGATATCCACTCTGCCTTTGTATGGACGGTTATCCAACTGGACAGACACAATTCGGATTTTGACAGTATCACCTGGTTGGTACAATGGCTTGTCGGTCTGGATGAAGGTGGAAACATTCCTGTGGTCGAAACTTAGGGTGGTGGTATTGGCAAATATGAGAATGTCATTTCTGTAGCCTGTCACCGTCAAGTTTAAGAGACAACTCTGGATAGTACAGTGATGAATCTGGAGTGACAATCAGAAATATATATCAATCAATCAAACTAATCAAATTTTATTTGTATAGCACCAAATCACAACAAAAGTCATCTCAGGACACTTTACAAAGTAAGGTCTAGACCTTACTGTTATCAATATTATTACAGAGGGAAAGCCCAACAAATCCCCCTTGAGCAAACACTTGGTGACAGTGGGGAGGAAAAACTCCCTTTAACGGAAGAAACCTCCGACAGACCCCGGCTCTTGGTGGGCGGCCTTCTGCCTCGACACCGGTTGGGGTGAGTGGATAGAGGAGAGACAAAAGAAGAAAAGCAACAAGACACACCAAACAATGAAACACTGGTCAGGTTGATGTGGCCGGTGACTGCTCATCAGAGACGTGATATATACACACATGCATGTGATATCAAGCTTGGAAACAATTTCCAAGTACTATTCTCATCTGGGTTTGTAGTGATTTAGTGATTTTCTAGAAAGAAGAAACTCACAGGAGGGAGTGTGATGACCCTGGTCACACCTTAAAAACAGAAGAATTGCTTTAGCCATCTCAAACATTAAGAAGCATTATGCAAATAAAACTCGTATCTGTGTAATCGCAGTGTCACCTCCTTGGAAGTTTTCTGTTTGTGCTACTGTGATGTTGTCAAGTGCCAGTTCAGCCGTTACCCTGACAGGGAAGTCAGTAAAGATGGTGAGAGCCAGCGTAGTGGGTGTCCCAGCATGTACCACCTCTGGCCCTGACATCAGAAACAACGTACTAAATGTACACAGGCAAGAACAGGGTTAAACAAATCCATTGTATTACATCAATATATAAAATATGAATAGCTCAAAAAATGATTGTGATTGTGTTTATAACAAACCTACCTGGATGAATTCTGAGTCAAACCAGGCACAGCAAAACACACAACTCCCAGAAAAGTAATCAAGGTCCAGATCCCCCACATGCTCCTGACCGTCACGTGTCCAACTTTTGGTTCAGACAATAAACTGACCACCACTACATCCACTAACTCAAATGACCTGCACTGAATGCAACGAAACTCCACCTTCTGCCTTCACGTCAACACCCCTCACATGCTATTACACACACAGTACATAACTGTGCACATATTATCACATTTCACACAACAGCAAAGTAGAGCAGGGTGACATTCACACACTCTTTAACCCTTTGCCTAGGGGTGCATGTCTATTCAGGCTCGAGACACTCTGGTGTTACCTGTATCCAGACAACAAGATGCATCTTGAAATACAACGCTGCTTGCGAAATGCAACACAAAACCACCAAGGAGTTGGCTTCTTGGCATAAAACCAGAGTCTGATTAATTAGCCTGCACCGCTTTCATAAACATTTTACTTCTTTGTAGAGTTCTCCTTGGAAACAAAATCACGATTCAGCTCCGTGGTAAATGTGTTTGACACTTTAATTGCCTTGTTATGATACAAGGTGACAGGAAAAAGGAACATCTGTGTTAAAGAGGCTTAGTCTTGAGAGAAGATGGGAATCAATCAGCAAAATGCAGTTATCCAAACACTCCCTATCCAAAAACAGCTGCTACTACTGGTCCTACATACAGGTTTCATGTTTTAACCACCATGTAAGTAATTTCAGTTTTCACTGAGGAACATGATGCAGGTGCTAATGAAAGCCTGTAGCAACTCTTTCTTTCCAGCAGATGGCAGTAGACTCAAGGAGAACTTATCACTTTATAACTGAGCTTCTTCCAACTTCTAATCCAGATGAGAACCCTAACAATAAATGAATGGCTCATATCCAGTTGTTTCTTTGTAACAAACTCTGGAAAGTCACATGGTTACACAGCACTCAAACGTTATTTCTTTCACATTAACATTTTATTTCTTTTACTTTGTTTTTACATTAGTTACATATAAACATGTTTTACAGTTTAAGGTGTGTTTGTCCACTATTTGGCAAGTGCGACTTCGGCAAAAACTCAGCTTCAGACAGGTCATAACAACATCAGTGATTTAGTTTCTCAGTACTAGTGTAGCATGACGGTGCATTTGCACATCTGTGATGATGCAGGAGAGATGTGATATGATGTTGAAACTGAATGTGCAAACCTGTGTAGGCTTGTACTTTGTCACTCCTGAAATGCACATCCCTGAGCACCTAAACAGCACACTTGTGAAAACATGAAGGCATTTTTTTTTTGATCACTGCCACAAAGAACAGTAACTCTCATTAAAAAAAAACCTTTAACCTGGATAAACACTCTGACTGGTCTGCAGCCTTCCTAGTGAATGCCCAAGTGTTCTATCAGATCTGCACTGTACATTATTACAATATTAGACCAACAAAGTGCAGACAAAAGTGTGTATTTGTAGCGTGCTAAAAGGTCCAGGAAATGAAAATATTTGCAAAGCATTACATACAAGGTTAAGAGTCAAAATATTTTGGCAAATAAAATGCACTTGACGAACGACATGATGTAATTCAGTACTTTCTGCCAATGAATCATCAGTGTGGAAACAACTCAACCTGTACACACAGCTTCCTCAGTGGATCCAGATATTCTCTATTTACGTATGTAAGGTGATCAATGATAGCCTTTATGTCTTATTAAAAGGTTGTGTTTTGTTAATACTTTCCCCTATCTCCTCAGTTGGTCAGACTCTCAGCCTGTAAACTCACTAAATCTTACTATGTAAAAGATACAGAAATGACAAAAAAAGGAAATAAAATACCAGCATTGGCAGCTAAACATTCGAAATATAGCCCTCGGTGCTTGATCACTTCTACAGCATCTATTTAGACAAACAACTTTTTCAAACATGCACAATGAAATACTGTAAGTAGAAGAAATGTTAGCCCACATCAGAAAAATATCAGTTTCAACACATCCACTAGGATGAGAACGTATGATTGTACAGTATGTAAACAGAATGCATGCATCATATTGGACTGAAAGCAGTACTTTACTATTCTGTCCAATCCACACCTCTTTTCTTACCTGAGCTAGAAAAGAATCAGTCACATTACAAACGCGTGGAAGTGACCAGAATACACAAAGCTGCTGTTTATCTATGCTTTGGTTAAGCTGAGGCATTTTGCCATTGTTGTGTCTAATATACTGTAGGGACTGTAACAGTCACATGGACTCAGTTTCTCACAACCCTCCACTTATCTCCCTGCTACCTCAACTTTGCCCACAGACTCAGAGCACAGGGTAAACCATTTTTGACATAACCTCACTTCTTGCCTATCTGATAGACTACGCTCTCCCTCTCCATGCCCTGATTTTTGTAGCTGGAAAGAGACAACACCTGTGCAGAAACAAGTACAACAAGCAAAGGGTCATTCATGTTGTACCTTATTGTACCACTGGTCCCTGTTCTATTGTGAAATACCTGGTCGTGTTTACTCTGTAATCAGCTGTTTTAACTGGTTAATTTTACTGCAAAGCACAAAGTTTTTAGGAGGAAGTAATACAGCAGCTTCTCTTTTTATTTCCCCCAAATGTTAACAAATCATCTTACATCCATCACCTTACACGTGAGGGACTAAACAGAAACAAGGTGATTCAGCTGATGAGTTGAAACGACCTGGCATACTTCTACAACACAGAATTCAAAGGCTGACATTTTAATTTACCTGATTGTGATTACCTATAATTGCCTATTCATGCTGAAGGCTTAGTAGGTTTTGATTGTGAATTTATTCTGTGTTCTCAGGATCTTCTGCATTTCGCTCACTCTCAAACAAGTGGTCCCTGAAGCCCACAGATGGCCATCGTGTTAATGCCTCCTCTTCTTTCTCTTATGTACATACCTTTGTGGGGACTTCACATTGGGTACAACTCATTTCTCTGATGAGATGAGAATTCTTAGACGTAGGACGTTCATAGTCTCTTATATTGGCTCTGAAGACCGAGGAGCAAGGACTGAAGATCGTGCTAGAGGACCCATGAACAAGGATACATGAGACCATCCTTTTTTTGCGAACTGATGCTCCTTTATCAGAAATCAGTCGGTGATTGGATGCTTCAGACGAAGAAAGGACATCTCATGTCGCTAATAACATGTTTCCTCGGGTCCTCTCTCCTCACGTTTTCCTCACATCTTACGTAGGCAGTACTAAGATGCAAGGAAAAGATGCATATGAGGGAAATGGCAGTGCTTATAAGAGTCTTGGGATGAACCCACTGACCTAGTTAAGTTAACCAAGATTAATTTCCTGGAGACTTAACCTAACCTTATACCGGGTTGTTACTCTAAAATTCAGTGATGTACATGATGAGGAAGGCTGAGTCCCTACAATGTGAGTGTGTAAACAGGTTTTGGATCCACAGTGCCAGTAATATCAGGCATACACTCCAAAAGCTTTAGCTGTATAGTTGTTACAGCACCTTCATAGTAAAATAAGTCCTGCTATATTTAAACAATTGGTGCTTATTGTGCTTTTTGCTCTAATATTAGCTGAAGCCAGCCTGTCATCGAAATACTCCAATTAAGTTCATTACATTTAGTATCAATTGGTGTTATAATTATGACCTAATTTAAACACTAATATTTTACTAGATTTAACATTTATTTTGTTAATTTTGATTATTAATATAAATTCCAAAATTGTAGTTAACTATTTATGAGACTGATATTTTCTGCGACTGACTGATGGGAATGATCTGAAAACGCCCCTGTGGCTCCAAGTGGGGCTTGGTATTGCACTTACACAAGATATCTTGCACTAAGCATCAAGCAAATTGTTATTTTAATGCCAACAAGTTACAAACCTTTGGATATAATTAGCTGCAACAGAAAAACATCAGCGTTTGCAGTTTCCAGACACCAGACAAAAACAAAGCGCACAGTAGGTTTTGGGCAGCCATGACTATAAACAACTTTACAGTAAGTGTTTCCTCTGATGGCTCTTTAAGGATCCACTGTGGGATTGTCTGTTTGTACCTACGTCGGTCACATCTCAAAGTGACGATACACGCTCTCCACGTAGCTCAGAACCCGTTGCCAGTCGGGGCCGCCTGCTCTCAGCATCTCCTCTACTGTCTGTTGGACGATGAATAAAAAAAAAAAATGTATGAGCAAGGGTGGAAAGTAACTAAGTACATTTTATCAAATACCATACTTAAGTAAAAATTTGAGTTATCTCTACTTGAGTATGTTTATTTTCTGCTATTTCATACTTTGACTTCACTACATTTTGGGTTTAAATATTGTTTATTACTCGACTACATTTATTTTAACTTTATTTATTAGTTACTTTTCACTATTAGATTTAATTTAAATGCATTTTAATCGTAAGACTGTATTGATCACCGATGAACTCACAAGTTACCCAGCAGTAATTCTTTTTATAAGCAAATAAGGTAGTTAGCATGAGCATAATAAAATAACGCATCAACAGGAAAAGGTTTGCAGAGAGTGCTGCTCGGGTGTAGAAAAATCTAAAAACATTCCTCTGGTGCTCTTCAATTTGAGGATTCCTCTAGTCAAGAAAAGTTTTTGAAAAAAGTCACTCAAGGATCATAAATGTAAAAATCCATTAATATCTCATGGCTGTTCAGACATGGATAAAGTACAGGGCGAAAGAGCTGGCTTGGGGCTCGCCTCCACAGACTGGTACTGACTTTAGCATATACGTACAAAATCTACTTTGTTTGTTACAGAGGAGTGAGATGAGGCTCAACTGTGAAGCCACTTAATTAATTTGCTTAAAACAGAGGCTTACCAGGGTTTGTGCAATCCCAACAGTCTCTCCTGTTTTGAATGCCAGACTGAGATTCTCCGTCTGCACAGAAAGGAGTGAATTGATCAATTGGAACACCTTAAATCACTTGGGCCTACACATTACACAGTCACCAGGCACAGGTCCCACCTTGTTATCAGGATTAAGAGTGCTGTAAGGGATGTGTGAGGGGAGGTAGGTGTGGTAGACCGCACAGAACGCAAGACCATCCGCCCAGCTGCTGCTGAAGTTGGTGATGTCAATGTTCTGAACAAAGAATTATTCAAATCAGTCAATTATTACTACAATTATCACAAAATCACCTAGTTCAGCTTTAAGAAAGACACTTGTCCGGGATCACCTTGTAGCCGTGGGTGCGACTCTGACACCAGCGGAGCAGCGAGTTTCTCTTGGAGCCTCCATGGCGACGCAGCAGCATGTTGAAACCATCCTGTGACCTGACAACAGTAAGACACAAACTGGTAACGGCATCAGTAGGAGTTGCCATTATGAGTAATAAATAAATTACTCTGATAATGAAAAGCAATTAACACACTGATTCAAGTAACAGAGGTGTTTTGTTCCCAGTACTGAGCTTAATAGGTGCACCAGACAAAACGTAATTGGGTCAAGACTAGTAACTGAATTTACACAGGATATAGCAAATTGGTTGGTCTCTTGTGTGTAGACTCACTTCGTGTGAGGCAACTCGGTAAGGGCAGAGTTGTACTTATTTAGAGACTCTTCACGTTTCCCTGCAAGGACAAACAACAATACTGCATTATGTGACAACATTATCCCATTTTTGTGCCACCTGGAGACAGAACAACAAGCTGGAAACCCAGTGCTGACATATGATCATTGTAATGGCAAGAATGTTAGCCAAGAATTGTCTTACACATCCAATCAGACACAGAGCCACATTAGCATTATTATGTCATATTTCAATGACCACATGACCTTTGTCTGACTCTTTAGGTGTTAGCTGCTTGGCCATGTTCACCAGCTAGTTGCTAACTTTGTCCGTCTGTCTGATGTTGAGCAGGTTGTGTGTCGGTTTTTCAGAGCTTTTATGCTGAAAACTGCAAAACTCATCTTCAGTACATGCAACATTTATTGCAAGTCTGTCTGTCTGTCCTAGAAAAGGGAGCCCTCTGTCTTTCTTCCATTTTTCCCTGCAGTTAAAGGGTTTTTGGGGGGTGGGGAGTTTTTCCTAGCTCAAAGATGCAAGAATGCTTCACAGAGCTGAGAAATGTGGGTAATAATCACCTGTGCTTTAGCTTAAGAACCTCCCTTTTCACAGTCATTTGAACCATATATAAAAGGTCTCCCATGGAATTTTCTTGAATATAAAGTTGTTTATATTTCAGTGTTTCTTAGCAAAATGCTCTGTGCAATTTTAGGATCCACAAACAAACACACTGGGACATATACAAACACATGCACACACCTGTATCAGTGCTTGACCTGCCATCTTGCCGATCCAAACTTCTTCGGCCTCTTAGTTGTGCCAAGGTCTTGAAAACAATCAAGATTTGAATTAGGTCAGATTATTATATGCACAGCAGACTACTACAGAGCTTAACCTCTTCTTGGATAACATCTGAAATATCTCACTTTGTTTGTGGGTCCAACCGTTATGGCAGAACTGGACTGGGAGGTTCCATTCTGCATGCTGGTGGAGTCTGAGGACGCAGGTAATCTGGATAGGCTTCTGTAACACGATAATACACATATAAGAGATCAGACGTGTGAAAACAAACCAAATGTTTTTGATCATCATCATCATCATCATCATTTATATAGCACATTTAACACAGCTGACCAAAGTGCTTAACACAAAACACAATAATAAAACTAAATTGCAATTAAGTAGCAATTTTTCCAGAACAGCTGTTCGACTTGGCTCCAGCTACAAATGTAATTATTCAAACTGTCCTTAAGTGGCCCTGTGAAGGCCTGCAGATTGAGTGCAACACATTCATAAGAAACCACAGTCACAGGCCTGAACAGTTCTGGTTATTGTTATCCACTTTTGGCATGCTGTCAGAGACAAAAATAAGGATGATAGGGAATATGGTTTGTTTTGAAATATGTGACTGTATAAAAACATTATGTGCTAACTACACAATATGATGCTGCAGAAGTGCTCCATGTTTCTGTGTAGGCCTGTTTCCAAAAAAAGCACAAGGTGATCTCACCTTGACCTCTCAGTTACCGTCCTTGGTATTTCACCAGATCGTAACTCCTCTTCACCCCTATCCTCATTGGTCACATTTCTCAGGTAGCGTTTTGTCACACCCTTGGAGTCTCTTCTGGGCTCCTCACCGACAACATTCTTCGTCACTTCATCAGGAATCCTACTATCCATCCCTTCTTGTCCCAACCTGCACGCCGCTCTCTCCCTGTCCCTCTGGGTCACCTCTGTGCTGTCTGTGTTGTTGGCTGGGTGTCCATTGGGCCTCTCTGGTTCCTGACACTGGGCATCATATTTGCCTTGTGCCTGAGTGAAAGTAGCCAGTCTCTGCCTGCTCTCCTCCAACTCTCCTCTCAAGGTGACCAGTTGCACATCAACCTCTTTCTGTTTTTGCTGGGTGAGAGCCAGCTCCCTCTCGATATTTTTATGAGCCGTTCGGAGCGCCGCCAGCTCCTCTTCAGCCTCAGCTCTCAGGCGGTCTGCCACTGACACCGCCACCTGAAGGTCAGCCTGGAACTGCAGCCACTCCCCACGCTCTGTCTGTAAGAAGAACAATACAGCTGTTTTTGTGCAGAAGACTGTACTCCAGCTGATGACTGACACTTGCAGTGCCTTGTCCTTCTTTACAGAGAGGTCAGATGGTTTCACACAGTTAATCTGGTTCTCAAAAAACATCTTTCATTTCAAAGTGTGCTTGAAATCCTACAGTAAGAATATCACCTATTACTACTATTAGCTCAGAATATAGTCCTGTTTTAAAAAATGTAAACTTGTTTCCAAGTGCACAGCTACAGCTGAGTTATTATATTATTATTGGATGTATTTAACATTAGCGTGTTAATATGTTCACATTGACAATGCTAACCTGCTAATGTGAAGCAGGTAAAATGTTTACCATATTTAACTACCATCTTGGTCAATGTATCATCATGATAACATTAAACTTAGCACTAAACTGTACAGTAAGGGCAGCTTGGGCTGATGGGAATATCATTTGTATATGAGCGCATTTGGTCATGAACTAAATCAAAACTTTGGACTGATGATAGTGCTAAATGAAGAGAGAGGAGGTCACGCCATTATAACATAATTCCTCTTGCACTGCTAACACAACTCACTATTACAAGTGCTTTGACAGAAATTTGTAAGCTAATTTTTCTTCAGTATCACATGCAGCTTGTGTTTCCATTGCAGCATAAAAGGGACAATCACACAACTACATTTAGACAAGCACTACTATACTGGAAATCATTTCCTACATTAAAACATAAAAAGGATACAAACTGGCATTTTTAAAAACAACCTTGATCAAAAGCTAACACTGAACCCTCAGCAGACAATGACTATAATCAAATGAACAGAACAATCAAATATCCATTCGACCCTCATTAGGGGGCTACAAGTTGAACTGAACTGAGCAGCAAGCCTCAGCACGCACAGAGTGGAGCTGGTGTGTTATCGTTAATGAGGCATTACTGAATCGTGAGCCAAAAGGTTTTGCTCAGAGTGCTTTACTAGTGTCATCTATAATCAACTAAAGAAGAATACATGCTCAGGTTTTAGAATAAATGGAGGCCAAACAAGTATGGACGCAGTCAGAAAAACATTTTAAGCATATGTTTTTGGGAGTCGTGCCAAGGACTCACTGTGAAACTGCCTTCTGTGTCATCATCACAGTGTTTTTCTAATCCACGGGAAAGCATTAGAAATGAGTTGCACTGGTTATATAAAAGCTGAAACCAAGTTAATGTCATATTTATCAGGATGAGTGCTTTCAGTAGAAGGGGTTTTCAGTTTTTATTCCTTAAGAGTCTCATTGCCTCTGACATGCATAAACACGGCCTGAGACATCAAAAGGCACACTAAGAACCAGTGAAGCCAACAGGTAAGTGATACCAGAGTAATTAAAAAAAAAAAAACAGCCATCATCAGAAAGTGGGAATGTGAAAATGGAGTCCTGTGAGGGAGTGGGAAGGTTGGTAATTACATGAAGAATGGACAGAGATGTGGAGGAGGAGGTGATATGTGAGCTAAGTCATTTCCTCATTTGACCAGTGACTCAAGACCACAGCTGGACCCAATTACACAGGATTCACACACACACACACAGACACACACATACAGTACATATCGTATTCCCCTTTTTTCTCACCAGCCCCACTCCCCAACACACACACACACACACACACACTCTTATAGCTCTGCCTCACCACCAAACCACATTGTTAAGTTTTCTCACTCACATCCACATGTTCAGGGTAGGTTGGAGCACACTCTCCTTGACAACATGTGTCAAATGAATGGCAGGATAGTAGTCCCTGTTTGGAGAAGTAATACTAAAACACCCACTTGAATTTGAAAGATCTTGTCTTCACTCTTTGTTATCTGAATGTAGACACTCCAACTGGAGCATGTCCGTTTAAGGAAACAGGAAGGGGCGCTCCTCAGTTCACATCACACACTTGCTCAGTCCCTCAAGGCCTGACCTAGTGCCCCACTGCAAGACCAGATGTGGTATCCAGGCACAGGCAACACACACATACATACACACTTGTCTGATTTTTTGACAATCCTGGATAGGGTGCAGCACACTAGTGCATTGTGTTCTGGGTTTGTGTTCATGTACTCCAACCATCTGTCCCTAGCTCACCTCCACACCCAGTCTTTCTAACACATACTTGGAGAACCATTCCGACTCTCTGATGCAGGGATAGCTATCCCTGCCTACTAATTATCTAGATGAGGTGTGTTCAGTCAATCAGAAGCTCAAAGATACCAACTGACTTCGTCTTTCCTTACTCCAACTTCATCTAAGGCAATATCTTCATCAAAGAAGCTGGAGTGAGGAAAGAAAGTGAATTGGTATCTTCCAGCTTCTGAATGACTGAACACACCTGATCCAGCTAATCAGCAGTAGGTAGGGCAGGGATAGTTGGAAAACAAGTGGGGCAGCAGCCCTCGAGGACTGGGATTGCCTAGCCCTGCTCTAATGGCTCCTCTCTTGAGCTTTCTGCAGCTTGTGGTGTGCATTCAAAAATGGTTGAACACATCTGATGCCTATTAAGGTGCAGTTCATTCCTTCTATAACAGTCACACATATACAGTAAACATGGCCAAAATTACCCCCAAATGAAACATGACAATAACTGTTGCGTATTTAAATCTCCACAGGCATCAAAGAAAAGGGTTCCAAGTCACTGCCATTTGCTCTGCAGAGCAAATTCAACACAGCATGCACACAAGCCCCTAATATAAACCTCCTAAATACCCTGAAGCTTCATTCTACATGTGAACAGTCTCTATGGCTTCCAGATACAGAGCCTTTTTGACTCTGGTTTACTGGAGCAGTCTAGTGAGGAGGTATAAAAAAAAGAAGAAGAAGAAGAGGGAACCTGGAAATCATTCCTGAAAATCTCCGGCAGCGTTCACCTGGAACTGATTCCAAAGTGAAGCTTTCAGATCAACTAAATCTCCAGGAGGGAACACGAATCTGACAAGCCATCCACACACACACACACACACACACACACACACACACACTACCCAGTGATGAATGGAGTGTTTTCACTTTTGCTGGTTAATAAAACTGAAGACTGGTGGTGCATGTAGGCATAAAGAGATGGTACGTTAGATAAAAACCTTAGTAGTTCACTGCACACTGTAAATCTGAATTCAGTCTGACTACACAACATCAAAATGAAATCATGACTGTTGGATACACAAACAAAGGAAGAAGCATTTGGGAAAGTGGGGATGAAGAGGAGGAAAGACAGGCTTAGCTGGCAGAATGTGACAAAGAATAATGGCTGCTTAAATTACACACACAAAAGGTCAAAACACAGAAGGTCAGAGATAAAGAAAAATGCTTAAGGAAGTTGGGGGTCAACTAAAAGGTGAATTGGAGTATAAGAATATACTAGTTTGGAGGAAGTGTGATGGGGGATGAGGAGAAGTCAGAAAGGAAAGAAAGCAGCAAAAGTCAGAGGGTAATTATTTCAGATCTTATGCTCGGTCAACTCTGATGGTGAAAGAATGAGGGGTTGAAGAAACAGCAGAGAGGCGAGGGAGGGAGACTTCCCCACAAAGCTAAAACGAACTGTACTTGCCAAGGCTTTCAATGCGATGTTTGTGAGTCCTCCATCTCACGTGCAACACACACAATAATACATGGCCAAGAGACACAAGCTGCAGCCCCCACCCTTGTTGCAGAACAAAACAAGTTTTGTCTCCAAAACAGCCGATTGTTAACCTCATTCTCCTCACCACACTCCTCTTCTCCAGCTCTCCAAAACAGAAAAGCCCCCAGGACAGCAGAACAGACTGAGAGGGTTCAAACAGTGGAGCTTTGCTAGCTAATACTGGCCTACTGAGGGCCCATGTAACACAGGGCTGGACTGCCTCAACTTCTAACACACAGCTTCCTCTCAGTACTACATCACAGTCTCTCTGAGGTTTAGTTATTTGTAGGTTCCTCATAGGGATGTGAAAGAATGGGAGAGAGAGGAAGGAAACACTGAATATAGCAGGGAGTAACTATCCAGTAGAGAAAGAGATGACACCACATGGAAGGGTAGTACATAAATAGCCCTTTCTTGTAATATAATGCAGTTAATTAATTCTAATTCTAATTCTAATGCATGGCAAAATAAAAGAATAAGAGTTCAGTTAGAGGAAAGCAGAGATGGGCCTGAGGGAGACTGTAGGTCATACTCCAGCTTTTGTAATCTGTGGCACATCTAGAGGAAGCCGGGAGCCTCTGGTTACAATTCTCATAACGGAGGGACAGGAGTTGGAATGAACGACTGACAGGAAATTACCACAGAATATCACCATCCTCACAGGAGCATGGAATAACTAAGAAACTGGACTATGGAATTTTATTCTTGTTGCACATGTATTTTTCAGTTTGGGTTTGGTACCTGATAACAGATCGATTCAAAATTCATGGTGTAGTGCAATCTTCACATTCTACACTTGTAAATCCATGACTATGAAACCAACAGGAGTCCTGCCAACATTCAAGAAGTACAGTAAGAGCTTTCAAAGGGAGCCACCATATGCAACAACCTCAGACTGACTCAAAAATTGGACAGTTATGTCAGGGCTATACAATTGCTTCTCAGGGGAGGGATTTACCAAACGGTGAATTCAGTATATTTAAAAACAAACATCCTTTCTAGCACGTCTCACCTGCAAGGTACTCTTCAGGTTCTTCACTTCAGTCTGTAGATGCTTCAGTATCTCTGAGAGAAAAGTCAGAAGACATCACATGCATATTGAACTCAAGAAAACATCAAGGAAATTGATTTGCCCTGCTCAGTATTATTGGATGTATTTAATTATATTTAGGAAACAAAATGTTGACATATGCCACTCTTGCCTGTTGTGATCACAGCCCCATCCTGACTGGCAGTGATACCCAGTAGCGCCCTGCACTCCCCCAGCACTTTCTCCAGTTCCTCACCATGGCTGTCCCCAGCTTCATGACCCGGCAGTAAAGACCGATTCAGACCATTGTCCCTCCCTTTCCAGCTCTGTCCGGAAGAGCCACCCTCCACAGGTGATGCGCTACACAGAGAAGAGGGGCATTTTGCCAGGTTGACAGCCTGGGAGGCTGGAATGTTTGGGGTAGGGGTAGGAGGACTAATCCCCAAAGAAGCTTGTCCTATAACCACAGTAGTTCCTGGTTTGTTGTGCACCAGGCCAACTTCGGGACCAATGGTCGAGCTGCCTGTGCTGACTGGTGGATGAGGGCTCCAATCAGAGGAAGGACTGGAAGTGGTGGCCTGTGATTTCTTCCTAGTGGATGTGATGACAGGGGCTGGGGGTGTGGATGAAACAGGGGCAGCATGGGAAGGTTGAGGTGAGGTAGGGTGAATGAGATGAGGGGCACTGGACATGTAAGCAGGTCCATCACTCTGTGGAGAAGCAGGGGAACTGTGGACACTTTCCCGATGGGCTCCTAGAGACAAAATCAAACACCTGACGTTAATGTTCTGACACTGAAAGCACTAACTGAAATGCAGAAAGTCTAGTAGTCACTTGTCTGGCATGTTAACATAACACACTTCATTTAGTGTAGTGTGACCAGAACAACAAAACCCCCACTGGCCAGAAAACATCCAGGCGATGCCCCTTAAGAGAGACATTTCTCTTGGTTTGCTCATGTAGTGCTGCTGTGACACTCATTCTCTAAAAATCAGGATCATGCACATACACAGAGGACGTGTTTGCCATACATAGAAGAATTTGCAGTGGTCTGCCACATATAAATTTCTAAGCTTGACACAATAACAATAATAAAAGTGATTTTTACTTTTTTGTCTCCGTGTTCCTCATCCATCAATGGAAGCCTCCAAGAATAACTTTAGAAACTATGGGAACCACTGAGTCTTACGTCTCCTTTTCTTTCTTCTTTGCCTTGTTTGGACAAGAGCCTCTCTGCTAGTAAAATGTTTTTTTATGATGTAAGAGCAGGAGCTGAACATTTGCAAAGCTATACACCAAGTCACAGACAGAGACAGAATGGCAGCATAGTCTAATAACGTTCTCATGCTAAAACTCGCTTTTTATTTCCTCATTCCAAACCTTAATGTGCTACCTTAACCTTAAGGTAGCAGATTGACTGAGTGAGTGGGTATGTGTGCGTCCATTCAAGTCTGCATGTCTGTGTGTCAGACAGCATTAGGCTTTCTGTGATTAATTTACTGCTATTGTCCTGAGCTGGGGAATTCTGCTGACTCACCACAGCTGGGCCAGAACAAATCACACAGGGATGGCCACGAGGAGAATGGCCACTGATATGGGAAGGCTGCCAAGAAATCTTCCTGCCACGGGTGCGCGCACACACACACACACACTTGCACAGCCTTATCCACTTGCTTCTCCTTCTGTTGCTTTCACTTTCCTGATTACTCCTCCCTCTTTAGAAGGAATTTTACTGACGTATGCTCCCTCTTCTTGTATATCTCCTCTTTTTTCTTTCTACTGTCCTTTTGTACTACATGAATCAACACACACACACACACACACACACACACACTGCCAGGCAACTTTGCCTAGTGAAAAATATTTAAAATCAATTTCACAATGCAGATACAGACCAAAGAAGATTCAAAAGAAGTGACTGACCTGAACTAGAGAACATAAAGACTGATTGCAGAAGTGTGTGTGTGTGTGTGTGTGTGTGTGTGTGTTGACCTACCTGTGGGTCCGTGGGTGTCCTTACTGGTAAAGTTGCCCATACTGCAGTAATGAGGCGTGGGCCACTAAGGCGGCCCTGCAGCTGCTCTCAGACCAGACCAAACTGGCACTATGGGGGTGACCTATAGACACACACACACAGGGCATCCAGTAAAACGATGGATGAAGCCATACACTTATGCGCAGGTAACCAGATGAGAAATAATTCAGCCACTATCCCTTGACTTGACTTCCTCAAAGTTCACGGTACACTGTCCAGGAAACTCATGGCGCTCATTTGAATGGTATGAAAATCAGTATATCAGCGACATGAGGCTAAACCATGCAGGTGAGATCAGCCAGAGGCAGGACACGCCAGGTGACCATGTGACAAACAAAGCTGTTGACATGACATTAAATGCGTCTGAACGAGGCGGATATATGAGGAGTGTGCCATCGAAACAACAAAACGAGTCCGATCTGAGAAAGAAAATAATTCAAAGCTCGACATCATTTTGTTTTAACGTCACAGACTTAACGCGCAACTTTTTACACAGCAGAACGAGTGAATCCAAGAGTCTGGAGTCGTGGTAAGAAAGGTGACATAACGTTTCGTACGTTCTGTTAAAAGCCATTCATTTACCTTGAAGATCGGTGAAAAATGGGTGCCAACCCTTTTCAAAGCGAACAAACAAATTCCAAATCCTTTCGTTCTAAGTTTGGTGAACTCTTCTTCTCCACGCGTCGCTTCCTCCGGCGCTGCTCAGACCAGCGCACTGCCCCAGTGCGTCTTCGCTGAGGAGAGGGCTGCTTCAGAAATGCGACCGCATTTCGTTTCGGAAGAGTTTAATTCACATAACATTTTACAGTTGGAAACATCTTGACAAGTAGACTGGTTTTACTCCACACAACAAAGCCGAGAGCGAAAAGTCTGGACAGTGCTGAGCGATGACAGGATGACTCAATGTGTCCACTGGAGGGCGCAGTTGGGCCGTGTTGGCACAGACCTGTTGCTTCTGGGAAATTACGGCCCCTCTTCATTGTGTGGATGCATCCACACTATGCTATCCTGTTCTTTATTCATATATTATTCTGGTTTCTTCCGTCCGTTTTAGCTGATGAAAGAATGATTTATGAATTGGGGCTATCTGCTGTGTTCATGATCAGAAAATCTCCTTTTTTTCTGTCAATAGATTTGTTTGCTCTATGAAAAGTAAAGAAAACGATCAAATATGCCCATCAATAGTTCTCAGAGCCCATAGTGACATCTTTCGGTTCTTTGGTCCAATCGACTGTGCAAAGCCTAATATTTATATCATATACAACAATATAAAACAAATCACCATGTTTGAGAAACTGGAAAAGATCATGTTTGATGTCTTTGCTTGATAAATAATTTATTGATCATCAGGTTTTGTAGACCACTGTGATTTATACGGCAACTAAATGTGCAAGATCATCACCCGATACTGAGACAACACATCAACAGAAAATGAGAATAAGAGCTGCTGCAATCAAATATAAAATGTGTGGAAATGAAGTGAGATGGTTGTCGCTTCAGCCGAGATGACACAAATTGAGGGGAAAAGGTGACATTTGATTCCAAGTGAGGAGTTTTAGCCAGTCGTCTAGCAGCAGGTGCCTCTCCTAGAGCCTGTGAATGTTTCTTCTACATTGCATTTATAGCTGAAACAAAGGCCACAGGGCTGTGACCTGTAATACACTGTCTCCAAAAGAAAAATGAACCTGGATTCCCCAGAGAAGCTATCGATCGCCCTGGCTGATGTGAAAAATAAAAACAAGTGTGGTGGACTAACAATAACAATAATGGATTATAGTGTCATTGTCTGTTTTAATCAGCCAACTAAAGTGTGATCAATGTTTCCCCTAGAACATTTTTCAGGAACAGTGGCAAGAGGATGATAAAGGTTTTTGCATGCACATGCTAAAATTTTTGGTTATTTATTTCTTGTGCAACAACAGACTTTTGGTTGGTAATTTCTATGTAAATGTCACAAACTTATCAAAAAACTGTAAGCTGAATTGTTTTTATGTGCAAAGCATTAGTTCCCCTTAAGGGAGTTGGGATAGAGAACAAGGCCAGGGTCAGGTTATAGTCAGGGTTTAGGTTTATTAAAGCACCGATGAATGCTGATTTATGTTCTGTGTTGTGCAGAGTTAGGATAGCCAGGGGTGCTTCTGCATCTGCTCCAGAGTGATGCACTCCTTAGGCTTTAGAGCCAAACATAAGTCCAAGACATCCTGGCAGTCTGAGAGGGGAGAGGACAGCAGCAAAGCAAACATTAGGAACAAGTTCTATATAGTATCAGTACAAAACATCAAGTAGTATAGTGCCACCAGCATTGTCTTACCTCAGGACAACGGTAGTTAGTTTTTTTTGTCAAGGAACTTCTCGGTGGTGAACCGTCTGTGTCCAGCCATCATTTCATAGACCAGTGTGCCAAGCTGCCAGACTGTGGTGGGCCTGGCTGTGTATGTCCTATTCTTGTGCAACTGTGGAGGGATGAAGGCCCTGGTTCCTACATACCAGAGAACTTCTTGTATCTTCTCTTCTCAAAGCAGCCAGATCCAAAGTCTATGACACGCACTCGAGGGCCATCGCAGCCGGGTTCAACCAGAATGTTTTCTAATTTGATGTCACGATGGAAGACCCCTTTAGAGTGCATGTGAATTGCTGCCTCCACCAGCTGCTTCATGATTTTCTGGGAAAAAAAAAAGAAGTGGTGAGTCATTTGCCATCCAATAACAAAGCCTGTGTAATGGAATGCTAGAGAGTGGTTTCCAAACAGGTAAACAATGGGATTTTTTTTTTGTTTGTTTTGGATTAAACCTAATGAAATAAACTGTTGGTGTGATAGAAGCCAACAACTCTCCACCTAAACAGATAGCACTGAAAAATATCACATTCTCTAAAGTAGCCAGCTTGAAAATCCAACTGTTCACAAATAGAAATATGTTCCACAAGTTTTAGTACCTTAACCACGTCTTCCTCCAGGAGACCTAGGCTATCAATGTAGTTCAGCAAGTCCATAGACGGTACTGGTCTCTCCATGTCCAGGAGAACCTCGTGCTCCAAATCATACCAGTCAGTGAGTGAGACTGCAGCAGATTTGCCCACCGCATTTGTTCCATGTGCCACTTTCTGCATGAGAAGAACCTCCAAAGGGATCCTATGTGTCTTCCCATTTAAGCACTAAAAGATACATATAATACATAACAAAATTAGTGTTTTAAAAGGATTTGGTAGTGTACATTGTGCATGTTTTCATCATCCAGAAAGTAACAAGTTCATCTATAATTTTTTACACTTGCTGCTGGGACATTAGATCAGATCACTCACCACTGGTTCTCTCCTCACATCTGCTATTGGGATGTGTTTGATCACCACCTACAGGATAGAGTCACAAGTATATGGATTAGTGCACCGAATGTGTGTGTGTGCACGTGCAATGTGTGAATACATATTGTATGCAGTACTCACAGGTAAATTATCAGCTTTTCTGGTCCCAGCATAAACTGATCTAAATCCTCCTGCTCCAAGCTTCAGACGCTGGGACATAGTGGGCTTCAAAGTCAGCTACAAACACAAACACAGATCCATGTTTTAATGTAGATGTGAGGAATGATTATTGATTACATCTCTTCTTCTAATAGTAATTTCAGACAAGGTTTGATCCTATGTTGACTTTTGTCCTGATTTTGTCAGATTACAGTTTGCAAAGTGAAGCAGTTATGTTGGAACTGATGTTCAGCACATTGACATGTCTTCTGTTGTCATGAGTCCTAGCTGTGATTGTGTAAATTCAAAACTTTTGTCATTACTACTGTGTAAGACTTTGAGGAAAGATGTATGAACCAAACAATATGAAGAATAATGTAAGATTCATTGTGTCTGCAATGTGCTGTACACTAAACCCCATTAAAAGAAGCTTAGTACATTTGGTAGACAAATAACAGAAAGCTGCAAGAATTGAAATATAAGGTGGTTTTAATTTGATTACGCTGTAAGTCTGGTTTATTTACAGACTGTCAGTTGGTGACCACTGCCATAGATTGTGTAAGATCAATCACAAAAACCAGAAGAATGGTTCCTGGTGGATGAATGGAGCAGCACGTCCACCATTAGGAGTAGCCATCGCTGGCGGCCAATAATTACATGGAACTGCTACCAGTGGAAGGGGATTGTACCCATTTCCATATTCTGCCCACAGATCAGCTGCCTGACTATACAGTTGACTGCATAATGGTTTGAGGAGGCAGTTGTAACTGGGGGTCAAGTTAGAGGTTCCATGTTTGCTCAGCCAGGAGAAGAGGCTGAGGTTGAAGGTATTGTGCATCTGGTGGCGCATTTGTTGTAATCATCACCTGGAGATTATAAACCACTTCTCCCCACTCGATGTTGCCTACAGCATTTTCAAATTCTGCTCTTGGATCCATCTTCATGCAGATATTTGAGCTGCTATCTACCTTCAAATTGTCCTCCCTGGATAAAAGCACCAAGTAAAAAAGTCAGCATGTGAAGGAGAAACATTTGTGTAATGCCACCATAGGAAATATGCAGTCAGTGGGTGAAAAACACTAAGGATGGCCAAAGATATGAGAATCTAATTTATCAGAAAGACATTAATCTTTATAGGTCAAATATATTTGAACGTACAACACATACTGCACAGTCATTGTATATTTTATGAGGTCTGCAGTGTCAGTATCAGTATCTGCATTTGCTCTTTGGATAAATCTATTCCAGACTAAATCTTTTTATTTTGCCAGTATACTGTATCTGAGTTGCTTAATGCTGTATTTGGCCTTGAGACCTATAGTATAATAGGTGCCTCCTACATTTTCTGAGTTGTGAACAAATGGGTGTAAGCTGGAAAGTCACTGTCTTTTTAGGTTCAAACTCTCGAAGCTCCACTATAGATTGACACCAACCTACGACATGAGGCTGTTTTCTGCATATGAATATTTAAAAGTTAGAAAGTTGTAAAATCAATGTCTAACCTCTTAAACGTAGTTACAGCAAAACAGCATGAATTTCACTTTCACTAAAAACATATTTTTTTTCTCTATTCCAAAACACTTAGTACAAAAACTCTACAGAAAGTCTGATCCACAGGTGTAACTAAAGTGCAACAGTAGAGCAGCATGTTGGCCAAATGCTTTTATTTTGTAAATCTCTTCAAACGTTTTTTTGACTCAATATTAATTACAACAGAACAAAGCTCCTGTTTATTGGGCACAATAGAAGACATTCACAGATTGAAACGGATGAGCACCGATGCGTGAAACTCACAGAATGTGCTTTCAAACATTCCATGTATTTATTGCAACATGGTTTTACTGGAGATATCCCTTTTGTCAGTGCACTGTCTTGGTAGTTCTCCTTTGTATACTGTACAATTGCTGAGTGAAACAGGAAGTTTGCTGCAGTGAGGAGATGAGCTCTACCTTGCTTTCTGATTGAGGTCAGTATGTTTTCACACTGCTCTGTGCAGCACTGCAGTATAGAGAAAATACATCAAAACCAGCAACCTCCAACCCCTACACACATGGATTTCACACTCATGGGAGTGCAGTGCCTATAACATGCAATTTGGTGCCAGTATGTCAAATACAGTACTTTTTAAAAAGAGTACTTTTTATAATTGGATTTTTGAACAAGTCCAAGTCAGTTGATACATGTATCTGAATCTTTTCTTGAAAGTAAAGTTCTAAAAACTTCAATATAGCCTCTGTTTTTCTCCCATGTGTATGAACACACTGAGTATCCTGTTATTTTGAGACCCTCACAAGCCCATTACAAACTTATTTGTGGGTGCCGATCTCTGTCAGTGTAAGGTGATCAATTGTTCAGCATCTGATGCCAGTTGGAACCATTAGCCCCAACTCCTGAGTGAATTATGAACATTTTTTGGTGACCTGCTGAAGTAGCAGGGCAGCTATTAGGACTCTAAAAACCAAAAAGCCATCACAGCATCCAAGAGGCAGTACAGAGAGAAGCTGAATGGCTTCTATTCTACTGCTGACTCCGGACGGATGTGACAAGGCCTGCAGCACATCACAGACTACAGGGCCACCACCAGCATCATCAGCTCCACAGACAGCCTGCAGGATGACCTCAACACCTTCTACACCCGCTTTGAGACCTCCAGCTACAGCACAGAGAGGAGGCATGTACACACCTCGACCATCCGACTCCCCTCCACTAACTGCTTCATCAGGCCAGATACGCAAAGTCCCGCGGAGCATGGACCCCCACAAGGCAGCAGGACTGGACAACATCCCTGGGAGGGCTCTCAGAGCATGTGCCAATGAACTGGCCAATGTTCTCACCACCATCTTCAACCTTTCCCTCAGCCAGAGCATCGATCCCACCTGCTTTAAGACCACAACCATCATCCCCCTTCCCAAGAAGAGCCCGGTCACCTGCCTGAACGACTACAGGCCAGTGGCACTCACCCCAATCATTATGAAGTGTTTTGAGAGAGTGGTGCTGGCCCGCATGGGGCTCGAAGTGGAGAGGGTGAGCAGCTTCAAATACCTGGGCGTCCACATCAGTGAGGACCTCACTTGGACACTTAACACCACACAGCTGGTCAAGAAGGCCCAATGATGGCTGTACTTCCTGAGGAGGCTGAGGAGGTTTGGCATGTCGCCTAGGATCCTCCCTTCTACAGCTGCACCATTGAGTGCATCTTTACCAGCTGCATCACTGTCTGGTATGGCAGCACTACTGCTATGGACCACAAGTGCCTGCAGAGAGT